GCATCCACAGATTCCAGCATACTAGTTATGCCAACATCGAGGGGATGCGTGAGAATGGTTATGAAAAGATGCCCCCTGTTGAAGAGATGCTGGCCTGCTATCTCTCTATGGGGGAGACATCTTCTCTTCATCTTCTCCTGCCATCCAAACCCCTTCAGGATACATCTTGTTTGAATGGCAGGGCATATGCGGCAGCAGGTCAGGCTGCAGTCTCGTTGCACACCATGGCGGTGCTTCACGCTTTTCAGGCTGATCTGCTGAATGACCTGGATAAAGGCAGGGTCCATCCCCTGATGAGGTGGCTGAGTTGCATCGCACCACGGATCTTGCTCTCCGTGCCACTAAGCAGGCCGCCACTGCCATGGGCAGATCCATGGCAGCCATGGTGGTTACGGAGAGACATCTGTGGGTGAGTTTGGTGGATATCGGGTCGAAAGAGAAGGGCTTTCTTCTTGATGCGCCGGTTTCCCCTTCTGAGCTTTTCTGCACTTCCGTCGAGACGGTGGTTGTGAAGTTTAAGGAGGCCACGACGCGCTCGGCTGCCTTTAAATCCTTCATTCCACAAAGGTCCAGGCTTCGGACTTCGCCTCCAGCCTATATCCATGAGCCTGAGTAATGTGCGGTAGTCATGGTTGGTGAGTACGATCCATTTTTATCTACTCTACTGCTAGTTCTTGTGTATTCGATGCTAGCCTTTCTGACTTTTAGATTTGACCCACCTGCTAAGTCAGGACCTCCTGCTGTTGACCGATTACAGTGATGGTTTCACTCATCGGTTCTGGTTCCAGGCTGCTGATAGCTCTCATCTTCGGCTTGGACACACAGCCTGGGCTTCTGAGGAAGCCTCCCAGCATCAGGTCCCCAGTATAACACTGCAACCTCAGGACCTGAGGACCCTCAGGTCCTTCTCGTGGGCTAGTACTCTTCTGAGTACGAGTGGGCTGGAATACACTGCATTCCCTGAGGTAAGAGGGATTTGTATTTCTGTGGAAACCTCTCTTTTGTGCTTCTGCTCTGAGAATCAGTAAGCTCTATATGCATGAATGGTTATTGGGTCCCGCTATTTCTTCAGATTCTATTGGGTCTGGTTATACGGGACCCACGCTCTCTCACGAGCATGAGACCGTGTCCAGCTGCACCAGGGGACTGTCTCTTATTGGGCCCTGCTGGGTTACCCCTTCTAATCTAGCGCCCCCTTCTGG